TTTTGTTAAATAATAGAAACTAGCTGCATAACGCAATTTATCTACTGATTTCGGTCACGTGGTACAAAACTATAGGTCTTGCGTAATTTGCTGGAACCCTGGAATCCAAAATGGCGTCTTTCGTCTTGTTATTTTTCTCCGACTCGGTGTATGGTAAATAAAGTCAATTTTTTATGACCACCTTCATCATTTCACAGCGCAAATAGGTTCTGGTCATTGTTCGGAAGTAAATAAACATAGTGAGTACTTTCGAAGGTCTTAAAATGTGATTTTCGCGACGACCAAATTTGGCATGTGGATTTTAACCGGTATTCAGTCTCACAAGGCTCCATAGCCCTATGGGCCGGCCAGTGTCTGTTACGTAAATAATGCGGTCGGCAACATAGGGCTATGATTCCACAGCTACTCTCCAGTGACTGTGGCTAAACCATGTACAATAAGAGTCTGGCGGCACAGTTCTAGTTTTATCTGTGTGTTATAACCACTAACTAACTAACTTACTTGAATTAAAATTGGAATCTGGACACTGGAATTATTCAGAATTGGTGTGTACAGACGACATTGCAAATCAAATGCACACATTGACAATTTACAAAAATAAAATGTTGAGTACATAACCACATATTTTCACAAAGTCAGAATCAAAACTTTCTTTCACATTCATTTAACAAGAATCACTGCAATCCTTGGCCTCTCTTTCTGTATTGGTGTGGATCTTTCGAGCATGGGGTTAAGTTTATCATGATAGTGGAAAGCACAGTCACTCTACAAGTAGAAAGTTAACACTCTGTGTTATTATCCGTGTCTGACAGACATGAAGTGACTTGCCAAGTCGTATCATGTTACAAGATTGGCGGCCACGGCCTGGAAAGAGCCACTTGCAAGTCAGTTGCACAACTGCCCTAATGCCTACCTTCGATTTGAGCTTCTCATAAGCCTTTCTTTGTGCAAAAATGACATCTTGGAGTTGAGTGTGTACCACAACGTCAGTTTGAACCGGAGTTAGATCTTTTTCACGTCCGACTGGTTTCTCCGCCATTTTGAATTTCGCTCCTATTCTACTGCGCATGTCAAAAATCTTGGCGAATGGGAGGACGGTATGCCACTACGAAGAAATTACAGCCAAAACAAGGTCAGCTTGGCCGTTCAGTTGCGAGACATAAAAAAAACCGCAGCCAGTGATACATTTCGAAAATAAAAATACAAAATAAACGCAATTAGAGGCGCCGACCAAGCGCGTTGGAAATAAAAAGAACGCGTTGTGACACATTCTCACCAGCGTCTTTCACTCACGCAATATAATTATGCTATTTCCCAATGCACTTATATTTAATACATTGACGAAAAACACCACAAGAAAAATGTAAATCAGGCTTGTAATTACTAGTAACTCAACTCGAACGCAATATTCATCACTGTAAAAGTGGACAAATTCGAACCAGCCAGCTCATGACCGGAGACGTCTTCGTTGATAACTCGCCAATTCACCACAACCGTGGTGGTAAACTGTTTAGCTGATTTTTCATCCCAACTTATTTGAATCACGGTTACTAAAAAAGAATATTCTTTCGGAAATTTGAGACATTGTTCAAAAAATCCTGTACAGGGATATGTCTGATGTCAACTAA